ATTATAGGAGTATATGTACACATTCAGTAAATCAGCCATTGTTAACATTTCGATATCTCCCGCCCATGTATAATTCTTATCCATACCTTCTCCAGCAATATATTCTTTTACTGAATTATAGGGAGTCAGCCAACTACGTAGCCGATTTTCCATTGTAGGCATGTGTCTAATAATGGCCGATCTGATGAAATTTTGCTGAATATAAGAACCTGTAATGGCATGAGACAGAGCATTAAATAAACAATTACCATCACCAGGTACATTAGTAGATCCTTTGGGTACAGTTAATTCTGTGGTTGGGCTACCCAACTTTGGTCTGTATGATTTAACAAATCCCAAGTTTAGGGCATTACACCATGCTTTTTGAGTAGCAGCATTGGGGGGATGGTATTTTAAATTACTAGCTCTTGTACTCATTCCCGTCATCACACAGTCATCACTATCGTCATTATTATTATTATTAGTGATAACAGTAGGTGGTTTTTTGGGGCAATTAGCTTTATCGTTGTTCTTACTGTCTGATGGCCTACTTCTCTTATCACGAGCTACCTTTGGTGGTGGCATATTTTTTTGATTTTTTGCTTGTGGCTCATCAATAGTTCCAGTAAGTGTACGCTTTCTACTGCCACAATCTGTAGGAATGGCATATTGTGGGAGGTCTGGCCTGTACAATTGTCTCAACCTGTTTATTTCTTTTATGCTACAAGAGGAAACCATCAATGATTTGGGGTTGAAACATGTCAAATGGACACCGGACAGTGTTCGTACTCGTGATAGAGCAACGTAAGCCATTCCTGCACTAAATACGTTTTCAGACAGATCAATGATTGCATTATCTAGTGACAGTCCCTGGCATTTGTGTATGGTAACAGCAAAAGCTAATATCAAAGGAAACTGGCTTCTATACACAAAGACATTTTTCATTACCATAAACTTTCTCTTGACTTTCTCAATCTCACAAGGATCAGTTATTCTATCAAATTGAACTGTTATGCGTGTTTCTGAAATGGCCTGCACTGTACCAAGTGCTCCATTCACTAATCCCTTTTCAACATTTACATTGCAACGCAACATTACTCTAGCCCCCACAGCCAATTTTAATTTGGCTTCTAAACCACCAGTATTGTTAATATCTTTATTTAATTCTTTTAACTTTTTCTCAACCTTTTTTTCTAAATCATCATCATCTTTCTTTCTACGTACATGTATGCTGCCAGTACCATCAATTAAATTTGTGGCTCTTATTTTTACGGTAGGACTTGGTAGATTAGCCAGCATTGTTTCATTAAAATCTTTGCACATGTCTACTTTTGGAAACAGGCAAACTGGGGCGTTACCACCCTGTTGTAATATTTTAAATTTTTTCTCAATGGGCGTCGAAAATACCCTTTCGGAAAGTGTAGCGAGAGTCTCATCGTCTGGAAAGCCACGTCTCACTTTGTCCAACA